TTTAAAACAAAGTAACAGAAAAATTATTTTACACATTAAAAACTATAAGTATTAAAATTATATCCTTTTAAAATTCAGAAACTAAGGAAGCATTTGACAAAGAGATTTTTTCAAATTTTCAAAAATCTTAAATTGAGAATATTAATTTTTTATGTTTGGTATAAATATTTTTTAAAAAAAATTAGGATGTTAAGATTTTTAAAAATATCTTTTTGATTAAGTTTTTTTAAAAAATAAAATGGAAAAAGTGAGCATTTAAGATTCTCATAAAGATAAAAATAATTACAATATTAAAATACAATTATATTTTTCAATATTCTCAAATAAATTTAGCATTTAGATATACTGAAGGAAACATTAATATTTTAAAAAAATTATATAACTCAGAATATGGTAAGAAATTTTATATTGTTTTATCCATCACTTATTCGTATAAAGCATCATATAGCACAAGATTGTTCTTGTGCTATATATGTACCAACCACTGAACTGGTGATAAAACAAAAAGCTATATTGTGACTTAGCTATTTATCCTAGACTGTTTAACTTGTAATATTTTCCAATGGACATCAAACGCACCTTTTGAAAATGAATTTACTTAAATAAATTTGATCAATGTGTGTGTATGTGTGAGTCGAAAATATCCCATCATGGCATCAAAGACTGGCTTTTGGATGATTGTTGTGTAGTGGGCTAAATTCTCCCATGGCATAAATGGCTTGCTGGCTTTAGGCTGGCCTGCATTGAAAATTTGAATCTGAAAAGGAAAATGAAGCCATGCATTGTGTCATCTTAACATACGACAAGGTCAGAATTTCCCATTTCCCACTTAAGCACACCCTCTCCTTCTTCACTCTTCAAATTTTGATTTGACAAATAGTAGGGTCATCATACACACACAAATGACACTTTAAAGCCTTATATAATGTGTCACACTCCACTTGCAAAAGAGACACCCAAGAAAATAATGGGATTTGTGTTATTTACAATATATTTAACCGTGGACTAACAATGACATACAAAGTTTATGCCTTGATGCCCTCTATTCCGTGTCTTTATTTGTCTTTTCCTATATGCTTGTCCATGTAATTATCTTGCTTGTTAAAGAATCCCACAATCTTATCTTAAATGATGTGAGTATCATTTGTAATCTGTTGAACAATCACAAGTTTCCTAACAACGACAAAATCATATCATAGTTTCAAAGCTCGAAAGCGATCGAATAGCAAAATTATATCACTAATCGACCATATATACTACAAATAGACCCCCCAAAAAATACAAGAAAGTGACACAGATACATTTTTGGCTTAAAATTTTCAATTCAAGGTGACCAACATTTTGACAATCTTCCAGCATGTGCAATTTATTTCCTTACTTGGCTCTTGCATGTTATTTAGAATGGTGGAGAAATTGATCTACATCGTAATTGTTTGTAAACATACTTCAAGTAAAAACTTCTAACTTATAACGGTAACTTCTTAGTTCATAACTTGAACTCGTCAACATTATCAACTGTTGTTGCGAAATACGGTACCTTCTAACTATTTAAGGGTTTAGATAATTTATAAGAAAAAGTGGAAAAGTTGCGAGATGTGAACACAAAGAGGTTCCCACCTAATAAAGAGACAGAGTAAGCTAAGGGAAGAGGTAGTCAGAGTCATTACGCAGACATGAAGGGAAAGGCACCACAATGGTTATCCACGTGTAGAGTAGGATTTGGTCGATATAGCCCTCCACAATATTTATGATAAAGAAAATACACTCAAGTTTTAATTTATCTTTTTGTTCAATCATTCATATTATTAAAAATTTATGTGTTAACGAAACGATTTAGTTATTGAAGTTATTTTTATGAATATAAAATTTATTTAATAACAATTAAATTATTCATACTAATATCTTTTGTTACCAAAATAAAATTTACACAATAAAAAAATAAGCCTAATGAGTAGTATAAAGTTGAATCCCCTCATTTTTTAAAATACGAGACCACACATTATTTTCATTTTATAATATATTCGATCTTATGAATTTTAATATTATTAAATTAATAATTTAATGTTTATTTAATTATCTAATAAAATAAACTGTTCAGTTTATTTATTTAGTTATTCTTATTTTCAATTAATGTCATAAAACATTTACAAATTATTGATAAATAATATTTCATTAATTAAAATATTTTTTTAAGATATATTTAAATTAAATTTTTCAAAAGTATGCATACTTTTTCATTTATTATAAAAAATTATTAAAAATTATACATATATCTCTTTTTATTTTTAATTAAAAATTTATCTTTTGTACTTATGTATTTATAATAAATTTAATTAATAATTAAGAACATATTATAAAAATATGTTAAATAGTGTGTTATTAATGTTTTTTTAATGAATATTGCATGTTATTTTTTTTTGCACTGAGTAATTATTAGAAATAAAAAATAAATTTAAAAATGAAGGGTTAAAATATAAATATTAAAAGCATATTAATGGAAAGCATGCTTTCAAACAGTAAAAAGGAATCAACTCAGCCACCTTCATACCCCAAGCAGGGGCCACTGCCACTCCCAAATGCCAACATGATGCAACTTTTTATTACTCAAAATGTTCATTTATTATTATTATTATTATTATTATTATTATCAATCATTGCATATTTTGATTAGTTGTTAAGATATTGTGAAAAAATAAAATGTGAAAATTAAAATATTTTGTATTGATTTAAGTGTCTGTTAAGTTTTATTTTAATAGAAAAATACAAACATGTTGGAGATGCCGAACAACGTATTCTATAATCCAATCATTTTTTTTAAAAGTAGGTATTTTTAAAATAAAATATTTATCGCATATTGATTATTAAATGTCTCTCTTATCTTTGTCAATCATTAATATTTCTTATTTTATTTGTAGTTTTGATATTTTAACTGAGATAATACATAATTTATAACATGAAAAAGGTTTCTCCTATGATAATTATAATAATAAATTTATTTCTTTTACATTTTATTAACATAAAAATAGATAATAAAAAATAATATTAATGTTAATTAATTTCTAACATTGTAAATTAATACTTGTACGTTTATAAAAAAAGGCGTACAACATTTTTTTTAATATAAAGCTTCTAAGTTTACCTTTTTTTTTTTACTAATCATTCTTTTCTCCTTATTATTTTGTACATTGTTTGTGAAGCTCCATTGCTCGAAGCCTTGAGTGCACAATAAATTTTCTTTTTATTTTTCTAATAGAAAAACATAATAAAATGTTTCCATTTATTTAGTAGAGTCATCTTAAAAAAAAGTAAAAAATAAAATTTAATTGCAAAAAAAAAAAATGCCTAAAACTAGTCTAAAATACAATTCACCTTGTTTCTTTAAATTTTAGAAATCATGTGAAATTAGCCCTGCCATTTAATTTAATATCTTCCATTAACTGAAGAAAAGAAAATCTTTGATGTAAGTGCTTGGTGTAAGATTAAATGGGCCATAGTAGCATGATACTGAAGGATGTCTTGTGAAATGACATTTTTCTGGCTAAGTGATGTGAATGTTACCAGTAAGTCGGCAACCCCTCTAAGAAGAGTACTTATAGTGAGTGTGGGTTGTGTAAGTGGAGCATCTCTTTGGCATTTAAAGTTTTAACCCACAAACAGTTGGTGGGTATTTAAATTAGCTCTCTGGGATCCACCTAAAAAATAGTTATGTTTGAGCTACAAAACTTTTGAATGGAAGGATTTCTAGAAAAAAATTATAATAAATAATAGTAATTCATAAATTTTTAAGCACACTTATTTTAAAATAGGAAACTATTAACCAAATTTTTTAGAGCATTGGATAAAAAATGTTTTTATTCAAAATGTTACCAATAAATACTTTAATTTTAAATGTTTTAAATATATTTTTAATAGTTTTTATGTCCATATAATTTTTTTTATTATTTGAAGTTATATTGTTTGTTTCCTTAACTAGGATCTGAAAGGTATTAAGTTAATATTTAGCTAATTTTTTAAAATATATTAATTTAAATTTATAAAAAAATTTAAAAAGGCACATATATTTATCAACAATTACAGGAATCAATTGTCAAATAGTTATTCTAACCTAACCGGTGGATATAAATTTAAGATTAATTACAATATATTTATGTATACTAAGTTAATATTTTATATTATTTTTAATCAAAATAATTAAATTAGTCTGTAAGAAAAAAATTATGTTAGTTCAATAAGTTTTTTAACGTGTACTTTTGGATTTAAATTAAGTTTTTACTTTTTAATGAGATTAATTTATAGCTATCGACAGGAGAATATATTGATATACGAATAAAATTATGTTTAAATGGGATTATTTTTAAATACTATATTCTAATTAATGGAATGTGTTTGATAATTTATATTGTAATAAATTCATATAAAAACAGAATATTTTTGTATGATAAACAGAGTTTGAAGATTATTTTTATTTTTTTCATTTCACTTTCATCAATTAATCGATTTAAATAAAAAATAATTATTAGAATAAAATAATCATTTAAGTTTTTTTACTTAATATATATAAAGCTTATTATATATAATTATATTTAATAATAAATAGTTCTATTATAATTGATTATCAACATAGGCTATAAAAATAATTTGTTTATTTAGTTAATTAGAGGAGATCATCCAAGCTAATTTTAATAAAAGGTTATTTTCCTTTTACTTTCGTAAAAAGTGTCTAGAGAGAGATTCTTCCCTTTGCGGGGAGAAATATCATAATCATAAATTCATAATCAAACAAGTTGTTTAAAGTTTTAGAAACAAATTCAACTTTTACTCAGTTTTATTTATTATATATGAATACAAAATAAATTGATTCACAAAGACTTATATATTTTGAATATAATATTCAACGCCACTTTCTGTAAATAGAAGCAAATGAAATGTACAAAAATGGAATTGCAGTGCTGTCTCAAAAGCTACAAAAGACCTCAACAGTTTGGTATAGTAGAGGAAATCATGTTGACTCACGCTCTATCAGCTTCAACGTTACCACTATTCTGAAGAAAAAAACACCTCTCTCTCTCTCTCCCCCCTTAACTGTTCACTCTGGTGTGTGCACAAACCACTCACAAGTTGCCACCCATCTCAAAGGTTATTTCAAGATACCATTTTTTGGCTGTTTGGATCCCAAGGGACTGTGTTGAATAGGATCATGGAACAGTGAGAAGGCCAATTCATTTCATGTTTCTTCAAATTTTTAACACCCTTGTTTTGCATTCTTCTTTTAGTGGTTTGTTTCATTTTTCCTCTGAAGAAAAATCAGTCCTTGGAGCTTCTTCTTTTATGAGTATTTTTCATTTGCTTCGTCTTTTCTACCTCTCTTCTGGTGCAGCATAGTTTGAGCTTCCACCATTACAAGTGTTGAAACTTTGGAAGATATCTAATCATGCAATCTGGGTTTGATTTGTTTTACCCTTTTTAAGTTTTTATTTATGTTTCCTTGGTTTAGCTTAGTGTCAATGTCCCTCTGTTGAAAAAAGTTGTGATTTTTGGATGCTATTTTTGGCTCCAGCAGGTCAGGGATTATGAATTTTCTATCTATAGAATAAAGTGGGATCTGATTTTTTTTTTCTGTTTTTGGTGAAATTTTTGTTCTCAAATTTATGGGATGTTGCTATATTTTGGCATGGTTGTCTGTCATGCCTGTTTCTTTCATTTTGTTTCCCTAGTGTTCATTTAGTACATGTACTTTATTTGTCAGTAGCTATAGTTGTCTTATGTAGTATGTATGTATGTATGTATGTATGTATATGTATATGCTTCAATTTGGTGTAATAAAGTGAACATCTATCAATATAGAACTTTAATTTTAGCAAGGGAATAATGCATTTCTTTTGGATTGTGGTAGGCTTATTCATTATTTCATAGCATCTGCAACTTCAATTCAGCTGTACTGATGGAATCTTGGAGTTATGTCCCTGAAGAGAAAGGCTATTTGTTTTCTGATGAAATGGATTTTTCACTTGATGCTTTTATGAGAAGTAGGAAAGCATTGGTTGAATGGGACAATAAATCTAACTTTGAGAGAGATGGATTTAATTCAGACAGAGGTGTAGTGAAAAGCATGGAATTTGTGGACTTGGGATTCCCTGACTTGTTGCAAAAGTCTTTTCACGGTGGCCAGCCTGTAGAGACATCTAGCTATGAACTTGACAGTAATTCTAGTAAAAGAGGGAATTCTTCCACCCATGTCATTGCTTTGGATTCTTCTTTGGGGGAAGAAGAATCTGAGTCAAAGCGTGTAAGTTCTCGAGTTGAATCCAAAACTCATGATTCTTCACTGATTGATCTGAAGCTAGGGAGATTAGTGGACTGTAAAGGGGCAAGCAGTGATAAAGTTGCAAAAGAAGGGTTCACTTTAACATCTATACATCCAAACACACTTGCAAAGAGAGCTCGCACGTCCACCTTACCTGCTCAGGCTCCTGTATGTCAAGTTTATGGTTGTAACATGGATCTTAGCTCCTCAAAAGATTACCACAAGAGGCATAAGGTTTGTGATGTTCACTCCAAAACGGCTAAAGTTATTGTTAATGGCATTGAACAGAGGTTTTGTCAGCAATGCAGCAGGTATTTTTGGGTTCCTTTGATAGTTTTATTGCATTTTTTTATACTTTTCAAACAATCAGCCGGTGGTCTTCTGATGACATTTATTTAAGATCCTTATACTTGTTTAATTGGTATCCGTGAGTTACCACAATCCCCTGTTGGTCAGAAACAATGAAAATTTGAGCAAAGTATTTGATATATAAAAAAAGCAACTAAAAATATTAGGGCTTGTTTGGTTTTGTAAAATGTTCTGTTTCATTGATAATTACACAAGCACCACTTTTGTTTTCACATTGTTTCATGTCCTCACAGGTTTTTACAGGAAATGTTGGTGGTGAAAATATAAACGCAAGGTGAAGACAAAAACAAAGTCAAAATAAGGCTTCATTTTTGTAATTATTAGTGAAACATAAACAAAAACCTTTATTAAACCAAACAGGTCCTTAGTGCTTCTCTGTCTTTTTTTTTTTTCACTTTCATATGGTTCTATAAATACACTGATTTAACAGTATTTCTTTTCTACAATAAACATAGTTCAAGTTAATAAGATAAATGAAATGTCTAAATAATTCAATTCTGATCAATCAATGTATATGATATAGTACAGGTTTACTGTCTATTGCATTTTGGGTGTTTTCTTGGCTTTGACGTTGGTGTTTGCTGATTGAACTTGATTGTTACTTATGAGTTGAATAACACTTTTTTTAATTCTTAAATTAGGTTCCATTTGCTAGCTGAGTTTGATGACGGTAAACGCAGTTGTCGCAGGCGACTAGCAGGACACAATGAACGCCGTAGGAAACCTCAGTTTGATTACATAAGTGGTAAACAACACAAGATTCTTCAGTCATATCAAGGTATGAAAAATCCATTTTTTTGAACTTTCATTAATCTAGATAAGACAGAATTTTATTTTAAAGCTTCTACTTTTATAACTTCTACTTTCTGGTTCAAGTGCTATTTTTGTTATTGGTAATTCCTTGATGTGAGTGTCTTGTCATTTAGCAGCTCTTATGGATGGGGTTTGGTGTCCAATTTATTTAGCATTTTTCATATTTCATCTGTTCTCATATCCTTCCTCTTTAGCCTCCTAAATACAATTGTGAATATTCAGGTATTTACCCTATACAAATGAGGATAAAGGGAAAAATGAAGATGTATGCTATAAGATAATGATAGTTATGATTAACAAAAGACAAAAAATAAAAAATCATTCTAGAAGATTTTGGCATTCATTATGTTTAGACACTAATGCTCTTGTGTGGAAGAGATAGAAGATTGAAATTAATTTAAATATGGGATTTGAAAATAGTCTATAGCAAAATATGGGATTTTGTAAAAAATTACAGAAATATGGGACTAAAAAATTAATTAATTTAAAAAATTAACTAATTTTACTCAGAAATTGTTTTATCATATTTTTGTACTTTTTTCTAAAATCTCATATTTTGGTATATATTATTTTTAAATATCATATGAAAAAAAAGAGCATCATAGATTAGTACGCTGGAAAAATAATTAGGGAATGTTACGAGTTTATGACTCTAAATAACTAAGAAAAGTACATAGAAAATCCTGATTGGTTCATATTAGGATTTACTTAACTGATAATTGGACAATTAGCATTATATCTCAAAATCGACGTCATGATATTTATGATGATTTGCGTCTAATTTTACTTTTTCCTCCCTTGGAATGCAATACTGATAAACATAAAAATTTTAGGATTAAAATTTTAACCACCATATGAGGTTTAAAAATTTTAGGAATTTTTCTCTGTCAGGAGGCATCAATGACCACAGGAATTAGGATTTTGTGTGAAGGCATGGTTTATCTATAGATATGAACTACATATTGCAGGATTCCAGATAGATAATTTTATTTTTCATTAATTACTAATAGAATTTGGACACTGCTGTAAGTTTTTGACTTTGTTAGTTGATACAGTTCTATATGACATTGATAGGTATATTATTTTTTTCTTCTATGTGCTCTACTACATGGTTGTATAGCAGAAATCTCTTTACTTGATCCTCGAGTGACAACTATAAATCAGTTTTGGCATTTTCTAATAGTTGCCTCTAGAGATAAACTAGAGATATCATGCTTTTGTAGTCACTATAAAAGCAGATATGTCAAGAGCTTTGTCAAATAGAGCATAACTAAATTGACAATGTATTTTATTATGTTATAATTTATTATTTTAATTTTCTATCAAATATCAATCATGAGAATGAAGTCATTTAAAGACGAAAGTGAAGTGTGTCTTCTAACAGTAAGATGCCAATACTATACAAAATTTGGGTCAACTCAAGCTAAGGTGGGCTACATTAGCTGCACTGAAGGTTTCTTTATGCTCCTTGTCCAATGACTTATTGACAACGAAAGAGGAGTTTTCAAAAGATAATCATACAAATTTTTCCATGAACTAAAATTAAAGCCACTAAATCTAGGAAATGCAGAATGAATTTTTTTTAAACATTTCAGACAAAAGAGGCACTTGTAGGTTCTTTAAATTATGTTATCACTCTATCTCTCAATTATCGTGGTCCCGGGGAATGATGTAGACCATTTAACAAATGTTTGTATGTATGCATTAGATTTTTAAGCACAAAGTTCAAGCATAACATACCAGTGTTGAAGCCTAGCTTTTTCTGTATCATATTTTCCATTTCCACAGTTATTTAAAACAATTATCAATTCATAATTTCAAGAAAAGTTCTCTGTTGGAGTATTCTTACACTTTGTGTACTATATGTCCAAAGTTACCAAGTACCTAATAAAGAAATTGAATGAGAAATGTAAGATATCCCAAGTGTACTCCATGCGTCAACAAGTCACTCAGGATTGTTACAGGTGTAAAAATGTTATACAATATCTATAATTTAACTATTGTCAACTAGTGCTTGAGAAAACTATTGGTACTACTACTCTCGGATCTTTTTCTTCAGGCCAGAAATTAAAAGTTCCCTCTATTTGTTTTTTCTATTGGATGCTCGGTGTTCTTATCTTTTACAATCTTCTTATTTTTCCATTTAATACAGAACTTCTCTTCCCTGATTGTGTTAGCAGGTACTAAGTATCTAGGCTCTTCAATACAGAACAGACCCCAATTTGCCTTTCAAGACATATTTCAAAGTGGAATCCTTTTAGGAAAGCATGATCAGATCTCTCAGAGCGGACGTATCAAACTGGAAGATGATTCAATTTATGGTCCTCAACTTGCTGCACCCATCACACTTAGTCAGGAATTATCTAGCTGTGCTCTCTCTCTTCTGTCAGATCAGTCACAGAATCCATCACACCATGCAGCAGGAAATCCATTAGCCAGTTGCCGAATTCCTCATGGCATCTGCGTATCCAACAGAGATGACCAAGTTTCTCAAACACCTTTGAGGATAAACTCGGTGGATAAATATGTACCGAGCGAGTCCTTCCCATATACTATACCCTCTAAGGAAGTTATCAAGAATAGATCCACAACATTTTCCAATGCTGCTGATCATACTCTTCAAGTCCACAGAGATGATGATGTTTGCCAAGCATCAGACTTGTTAGATGGCAGGTATCGTCTTTCATCTGAACATGGAGGGACTGTTGATCTGTTCCAACTATCTTCTCATCTCCAAAGGGTGGAGCAGCAAAGAAATTCTGTTTTGGTAAAGTGGGAAAATGAGGAGTGTTGTTTTCCAACTGTGTAAGAGGCTGTTTAAGCCTTAAATGTTAGTAATATCTCCATTTTGTTGATGCCTTTGTTTTCATGTTATAATAGTGGGACTGTTTTCTCAGTGAATTGATTCATTTATGGTGTAGTATGGAATCATTGATGGGTAGGGGAGTGAGGATATGATAAACTAACCTTGGTAGTGGAGTTTGTATTGAGAAAAAGGAAAGCCAAGAAAGACCAATTGTATAGCACAGATACCACTAGAGCATTTAAAAAAAAGAAAAAAAGAACGGAGACATTTGGGTTGAGTTGTACCATTAATTGTAATTTACCGACCTTGGATAGTTTTTGACTGTGACATTCTATGTCTTTGAGCATGTCTGTGGTGTAGTTAAGGTAACATTCAGCTATGTCTGTGGACAACACTATAGTAGTATCTAAGTACACATTTCATTTTGTAACAAAAGCGCTCTATCTTTTATTATTGTTATTATTGAAGCTTGTGTCAACCAATGGTAAGGGAGCAGGTCTTTTTTTGCATGTGCGCATGTACAGGGAACCTTGTAGGTGGGAGTTATTTTCATGAGAATAATAAATCTTGATTATATAATTATATGTGAATAGTTAAAATTGGCTTGATTCACTTTTAATTTTTACTATGATTGTATTGTTAAAATTTTTACAAGACCAATTTTTACTTGATTTGTTCTCATATATATGGACACGCATGCATAAACTTGTGCTTCCAAGGAATTTCAATGCATGCATATGCCACTAAACTAGATTATGCGCTTCAGGATAGTTCCAAATAGTAATTAATCCTAGTTTTGTTATAAAGTTCGTGGTTAGGTTCAGACTTGAGGGGAACATTCAAAGAGAAGATGCAAAATGGAATCAGGATACCAAAAAGTAGATATAATTGAGGTTAACTCTACTTTATAATATATAAGGTTCTTAATTCAGGTAGTTGGCTCTTCAGTGGTCCAAGAGAAAAAGATAAGAGTATTTAAAGCCGGAGTAGTTTTCAATAGATTTAATATTATAAAGAATATACCCTAGCAAGAGTGTTGACATCCTTAGAGGACGGTGTCACCTTTTGCAAATTTAACCAAAGTTTTTGCCTAATGTGGTCTCAAAAGTTTAAGGGGAAGGCCAAACTTTATATTAAGAAAAAGAATGGCCATAAGTAGAAATAAAATGTTCCATATTAGGTATAGTTCTAGGTGGTTTGCACCCTTTTGCAGTTTGCACTAGGGAATCCCCTTTACAGCCTCAGCACTTCACATAAGAAATAAACTCAGAGCAGCCATTCATAAAATAGCATTAATAAAGTAAGCGAATTCCCAGAAACAACACTGATTTTAAATTTGCATGAAATGCAAGTTGCACTTCGTGTAATGGATTCCATCATTGCAAAGCACATAATAGTTGCAATATAGAATCATCATCGTGAAATATTCTTAGCATCATAGTTCACGTGTGGTCGGTTTTCAAATACCTAACCGAGAACTTCAATAACATATGTTGCTACTGTTCCTCCGTTATCATCTTATAATTGATAATAACTAGTAGCGTTTGAAACTATACAACCATCTTCGCCAAAAACAAATAAAAGCTTATATTCAATCATCAATTTGATGACTTTTCCTTTTGTTTAAAAGATATTTTAAGTCTTATCATTGCATGCTTCATATATTAGTTCCATATAATAATAATAATAATAATAAGATCAAGAAGGACGCCCCAAACATAAACGACTGAAGTCTTTGTTTATGACTTCTAAAATTTATTGACAAAAAGGGTTTTTAAAATAATATTAATTATTTAAAAATAAATATTATTGACTACTATATAAATAATATTAAGGGATTAAATATTTTTCTTAAAAAATTAAATTCATCATTTTATTATGACTCGTCTTTTTCTTAATTGATAATTATGTTACCTATCTTATTATTTAGCTTTAATTTTTGTATTAGTCTTAATTAAAATATATATTTTATTATTTAGTATTGTAAATATTAGAATAAAATAAAGCCACCAACATATATAATTGTCATAAATGTTAATTACTTAGTACACATAATGCATGTGAAACAAAGTCAGCAACTAAACTTAAAATTCATCAAATATTACTATCAATAATATCTCAACAAAAATTAAATAGATTAACTCTAATATAAACTAAAAAATACCAAATGAAATTGATTAAAGGAATTTAGTAAGTGATTTTTCATCTTAAGAATATATTGAAAATAAATTTTAAATAAAATAGTAGTACGTTTAATATATTATTTTAATTAATTTTAAAAATGCGTATGTTAAAATACACTTTAAAGGCTTAGATGTAGGTTGGGTCGACCTTGATAATAGCAATAAGTGCATGCAAAAGATTGCAAGTCCTCTTAGTCTCCCCTAAGAATCCACACAACATCAAAAGCTTCACTAGGTGGTGGATATCATCTACTATAGACAAGGTTAAATTATTTTGAAAGTTCCTGAACATTTTAAGAAGTTATAAATACGTTCCAATTCTATACTTTAAAAGTTTGCAATTAGATTCTTAAATTTTCAATTGAGTTGTTAGCAAAATTTCTTTTAGGGTTTCGTTAAGTACAAGACCTAATCACAATTTTTTAAGTAATGGGCTTATTAAATAATTAAACTTGAGACCCAGTCCATAAACTATTTTAAAAAATGTAATTAAGTCTTTGAACTTAAAGGGACCTAATTAAAAATGCTTAAAAATTTGTAAGTATAAAAATTACAAAATAAAGTAATTTAACTTTAACACAATAATACCCATCAAACGGGCATCTAGCTCAAGCATTGAAAGAAAAAGATTACAAGATAATTATTCCAAAATAAGCCTCATATTATCAAGATCAATGTATTGAAATTTCATGAAAAATGGAGCACATTTTCACTCCCAAACATTTGGCAATGGAGCACCCTTTTCTTCTTGGTTACGTTGTAGCTCCGTCTATTTCATTTTTTTCGTTTCACTTACCAAGAGTTACGAACTCTTTTATAATTTTTTATTGGACCATGAGCTTTCCTACACCTTTTATTTATTTATTTTTAAAATAAATTAAGTTAACATGGACGCCACTTTATTGGTAACTCTCATGACAAATACCTCCCTCACCAATCAAGTGTGGCAACAGTTAACCTAATTCATTTTCTCTTTGCATGTAGTATGTGATATACATGTAAATAACAAATTTTATTTAAATTGATAACCAAATATTGTATATTCATGCATTTTGATGCATTTTCATTGTCTAGTTTAAATAACTACTTTTTTTTTTTCGTATTTTGCATATAGATAAAGTGGTGGATGAAGGTCAAGAGCAGTTTTAGAGCTCAAAAGAATGAGAATTAGACCTTCTAGAGAGGCCTACTGGTTGCCAATAATAATGAAATCTACCATGACTGTGGTTCGAGCTTTAACCTAAACATTTGAAAAGAAGCTAGCAAAGAACTCCATTTTGGCTACCGTGGAGTTCACTACACCCTTAGTTCAAGCTACAATGTAGAGAACGTCATGAAAATTAAGCTAAAAAATTTCACCAGCCACTATTAAAAATTTCATGGCTGTTGCATACGGTGGTTCGTGCATTTTATTTTTTTAATCTATTTTTATATAGGCTAAAATGGGTTGGCTCATTTAAGTGTATTAAATGAAATGGTTAAGGCTTTAAACTTTAGGCTTCAATTAAAGTTTTTTTTTTTACTCAATCTATCTAAGAATTTTTTTTTATTGGGTTTTGACCAACTTGAGCAATTCAGTTGTAAAATGCAAGTTCAAATCAGACTTAAGCCTCTGTTTTAAAGTCAAATAAGTAAACATTTTTACTTGACCCAACGAAGCTAGAATCAAATTTAGCCCTTATCACCTCTATTAAAATTCCTACCTATTCAAGAAAAAGAGGGAGGTATAACACAAGGAACTACATAGAGTTTCACAATAGAAATTGAAGTTTTATCCTTTCTTTCTCTTTTTTTTTCGTATTTGTTCTTGATTAATTTGTTGCCTTGGACTGTATCTAGGAGTTACATTTTGGACATGATGGAATAATTTCCTACTTGGATTTAGAGTAACTGAATAATTTCCTATTTTGGACATGATTGAATAATTTCCTATTTGATTTTTTATTTAAATTTGGTGTGCTTAATGTTTGTAATTCTGTTCGGCCTTGCAATTGCATGTTTCTAGATATCAGAAGCTTTGTTTTTTGTCCAAAGCTTATGTTTTTAGAAGCTTTTGTTAATAAAACTGGGCCTTAGTGGGTTCAGCGTTGGCAGAAGCCCAAGTTAAACCAATTATCAAAAGACCCATAAGAAGCGGCCCAGAGTGAACCCTTTAAAAGTTTTAAGTCTTTTCTTCCCTCTTTCGTTCTCATTCTCTGAAGACTGAAACTCGTTTCGTGTTGTTCTATGGAGAATGAAAAGGGCAAAGGAGAAGGACCGAAGAAGGTAAAGGTATTAAGCACAAGCTCACTCCAAATTACCCAAAATGATGCCTTTCACTTGGTTGGTTCCATCGTCGAAAAGGGTATCTCTGACTCACAAAACAACCCCATCATTCCCTTTCACACTTTTCCCAAACCCACCGTTCTTCCTTTCCCCGTTGCACGCCACCGTTCACATGGCCCTGTAAGTGCCCCCTATTTCCCTTTAGAGTGTGTTTGGATATACAGATTAATTAAACTTTTATTCAATAAATTATTTTTAAATGATGGTTTTATTATAAATTTAACTATAAAACATATTGAGATAAGCTGATAACGATTTATTTTGATAAGATATAACAAGAGTAATAAATTAGTTTTATAAGCCGTCTTTACGCTCTTCCAAACAGATTTTAACTGCCCTTCTTCTCGGAAAGCTTCAACCTTCTTCTATTATTATACTGTATCATGCTTGAATTTGATGAAGATGTTTTATAGCGAGTAATGTAAGTAAAATAAAATTCTGTCTTTTAGTGTTTTCTGAGGTTCTAATGAATGTAATCGAGGAGGGTATGTTGGAAATTACTGAATTAAGATTTAATGAATGTTAATGGGAAACATACACTGAGTTCTACTTTGTTAGTGGGGTTTGCTTCATTCTTCTTATTGCTTTGTCTTCTGGGTGTTTTTGAGTGAGTGAACACAGACAAATAAGATGGTATTTTTTTCATTTTTCTTCCCCATTAAATATGGGGTTATTCATCATGGCATGAAAAGTTCTATGTAGAACTAATTAGTGAGTCGTTGACTGAGTTTGTTGAGCCTAATAGGTCTTAGTTGGCAATAAAAATCTGTCTGCTTACATTGACACATTTTAGTTTATTGTGAGTGTAGTTCGTGTAATGGGTCTTGTGGACTGATAGTCTGATACATTGGTTCCGGTGATATTTTACAGCATTGGCGTCCGCTGAGTAGTAAAGGGAATGATGATGATAGGGATGATGATAGTGACAACAATCTTGAGGATGAAGAAGATAAAACTTTAACTGAGTTTGAGAAAGTTGCAGCCTTTGCTAAGCCAGTGCAAAGGAGAAGGAAAAAAGGTTTGGATTTTAGAAAGTGGAAAGAGATTACTCAGGATGATAATTCTTCCTTGGGGAAGAAATCAGAAGAGGATGTGTCAAGCCTTAGCCAAACTACAGGGAAAAGGAAGAATGAAAAAGGTGGTAAGAATGCAGACAAGAAAACCTCAGCTTCTGAGGATAATGTTATTGTTTTTATGAAAGAGGATGTTAAACCAAAGTTAGATAACTCAGATCATGGGTTTATCGATTTAGCAACAACTATGGAATTAGATACATCAAATAAAGTAGATACTCAGGAAAAAGTTAAATATGCCAGAATTTATGATGACAAGGAAGAAAATGAATCTGTGCCTGAATTGGACCAAATTTGCTCTGATAGAATGCCTGATTACAATTTTGGGTCCCTAGACGTGCAAGAGAAAGAGAAAACTTACTCGACTTCAAGTATGCTGCCTTCTTCTGTTTCCAATAACATTAGAAGTGAAAAAGAGTCCATGTCTCTTGAGAGTGAAATAGATGCTGAGAATCGAGCTCGGATCAAGCAAATGTCGACTGAGGAGATTGTCGAAGCCCGGGCTGAGATAATGGAGAAGATCAGCCCTGGATTACTAAAAGTACTACAGAAGAGGGGGCAGGAGAAATTGAAGAAACACAGTAGTTTTAAATCAGAAGTGGGTACTGGCTCAGTATCTGTGAATCAACACATTCATAGTGCTCAAGATGCAAAAAGCTTGCATACAGAGAATGACAACTCTCATACAGTTATGACACCACCATCCAAACAAAAGCTAGGTGATGAGAAAATCAGCTCAAAAACTTCAACCACTACTAATAGTAGCCAATGGAATGCTTGGAGCAGTAGAGTTGAGGCAGTTAGGGAGTTACGATTTTCCTTGGCTGGGGATGTTGTTGATTCTTCACTGGTTCCAGTGTACGGTATGCCTAATTATTCTTCTTTGTTTTCTTTTATTTTTTATCTATCTTTTGTGTTCTAATATCAACCTGATGCTTTCTATGATCCTTACATGCACATATATTGTCATTTCAATATGGATTCTTCTTTATTTAGTCTTTTGCGCATATGGGTGCTCGGCTAGTGCTAGTATGTATTCTTAATGTAGATATATGCTCTGATGTATTTAATATTTTTTTGGGTATGTGGTAAATCAAAGATCAAGTCAGCTAGCAATAGTGTGCATTGTTAATTTTTAATGTTTTCATAAAATGTCAACCATTGTTGTGTGGATTATGGTTTGTATTTAATATTATCTTTCTTCCCAAAAAATCCTAGGTCCTTTCTGGTTGACTACACTTCCAAATGGACATGAACCAAAAATACTCAGTGCATCTGTTTTAATTTATTTTGAAGAAAAAATTGTTTATTTTTGCCAACATCCAGAGAATGCTTCTGAAAAATAGGCAATTATTATCCATGTTTAATCTTTACCAAACATGCTGTTAACGTTGGCTTGTGTATTGTGTAGGGATTATATTGCTGGTAAATGCAGGAAACTTTTTGATCGATGTTGTTATTATATCATAGCCTGTCTGGTCTGAGAGGACTAAATACTTATGGATATCCATTGATATCCGGATTATTCTGTATTTTCTGTTAGCATTGTTGAATATTAGCATATTCATTGATATCCTTTTTATTCTGGAAATAAGATGGAGCTTTAACTATAAATTTAGAGTTTTCTTTATGTGACAATTCTTTGTCATGATACAGATAATGTCGCTGAACGGGACTATCTACGGACTGAGGGAGATCCTGGTGCAGCTGGTTATACAATTAAAGAAGCAGTGGCACTCACTAGAAGTGTGGTATGTTATGTACTGTAACCGATGTGTCCTTCTGTTGGATACCTGGACCTGGAACAGTTTGGATGGCTTCACATTTATGAATATAAATTCTATAAAATAAAAAAAATTATAATACTTTCCCCTTTAGTAACTTGCCATCTGCCACATTTTATTCTTTAGATTCCTGGACAAAGGGCCCTTGCATTGCAACTCCTTTCATCTGTGCTTGATAAGGCATTGCACTATATTTGCAAGGACAAAACAGGGCATATATCAAAAAGTGAGAACAAAGTTGACAAATCAGTTGACTGGGAGGCTGTTTGGGCTTTTGCACTGGGGCCAGAACCTGAGCTTGCTTTGTCACTCAGGTGAATTTTGCTTTAGATCCAAGTTGTTGGTTTTATCATCTACCTGCTGCAACTGAGTGAAAAAATGTATTATTCTTTTTGCTCTTTTCAGAAAATGTATATTGTTGTTCTTATTGCTGTTAATAATCACTTTACATGCCCTGTCACTGGAGAAGCCCGCATTTTTTTGTTAGAATATTTTCTAGTATCATTGCTATATCTTGGAATATTTTAGAGTATCTAAGATATTCTCTTAGGAGTGTTTCCATATTTAACTATATTTCATGATTTCTTCCCGTATTTAATTAGGATTTGGACTTTGAAACCCTGAGTACAGATAAGAATGAGGATTGGTGCTTTGTCTTTTATGACATTATCGTTACAAATTATATATGAGTATAATATTTTCTTATTTGGAGTTTATTCTCCTTTTCTCTTTATTTACCTAAATACCTATAATATTAGCATGGTACCATCCTCTTTAACCTGTTCCATCACTATTCTGTTGCCTAGTTTCCTAAAATCTGGAACTGCACTTGGTTTCTGTGGTTATTTTCGTCCTTCTAATTAATTCTCTCTCCTTCGGTGTCCTTCTAATTAATTGTCTCTCCTTGGTCACCCTAATCTTGTTTTGTCTCTATCCAAATAATATTTGATTTTCTCAAAATTGAAAGACCCCTGACTGCCACATCTCCTGAATACTGTGCACTAAAATTCTTTCTTTTTTGTTCATTTTTTTTGTACCAGTTCCTATTAACTATTTAGTGGGTTATCTAACATGCATGGTCTTTTTAGGGGTTTTGGTGTCTTTGTTAGATCTACAGATAGATTGGTATGCTGTGTTGCATGTTTCTTGATCTTTATTTTTTGTTTTTTTTTTTTTAACCTTTATCTTTTGGTAAGTCTTTAGTTCTTGAGGATTCTTATACTCTTACATTTTTATCCTTCTCTTCAGTCTTAATAAATTATTTGCTCATTAGAAAAAAGGCCCAATGCTGTGGTTTTTCTTGTGGTCTTCTTCCTAAAGTTGTGAGAATTATTATATGTTAAAATTGATGCGGCCCTTGGGTAATTTTACTGCCCTTATCTAAAATTCATTCGGAGGAGCGAGAACCTAAATTGCTTATGTGACTCGTACCTCTTGTTCTCCTGTAGTTAATAACAAGGAGACATGGTGGTGCTAAGAAGATCTTTTATTATAAATCGCTAAATGCTAAAAAATGTCATCCCAAATGGATAGCTATTTTATCTTGTCAACATGTTTGAATTTGCCAATAGATGTTATGATTATATTTTGATCAATGTGCCATTTTGAGTAGCATGTGATAAATATACTCCGATGAATACTTTAATTTCTTTCAAATTATATCAGCATATAATTTCTCTCTCCCCGCCTGTTATATGGGCAACTTGTGATGGCAGTTATGCTCTAATCTTCTGCAGGATATGTCTTGATGATAACCATAATTCTGTTATTCTGGCCTGTGCAAAAGTTGTTCAATGTGTATTGAGTTGTGAAGTGAATGATAACTACTTCGAAATCTCAGAGGTAACAGTATTTCTCATCTATATTTATTATCTTTTATCTGTTACTATTATTCTGTGATTAAAATTATATTCATTTGTAATTTTTTTTTTTACTTCCAGAAGATAGCAACTTATGACAAGGATATTTTCACAGCTCCTGTTTTTAGGAGCAGACCAGATATGAATGCTGGATTCCTTCAGGGGGGGTTCTGGAAGTACAGTGCAAAACCTTCTAATATTCTTCCTTTTAGCGAGGATTCTATGGATAATGAGACTGAAGGGAAACATACAATTCAAGATGATGTAGTGGTTGCTGGGCAAGATTTTACTGTAGGTCTAGTTCGCATGGGAATCCTTCCTAGACTTCATTATCTTTTGGAGGTAAAAAATAATTAGTCATGATGAAACATTTGATGTCATGAGATTCTGTATAGAAAGACATAATTATTAAGGATAGTTTTCTGTTTTACAGTTTATGAACTTCCATGTAAAATTCATTATTCTCTAATGGGTGCAGACAGATCCTACAACAGCTTTGGAAGAATGTATTATTTCTATACTGATTGCCATAGCGAGGCATTCACCTACATGTGCTAATGCTATTCTGAAATGTGAAAGACTTATTCAGATAATTGTGAATAGATTTACCATCGACAATTTAGAAATTCGATTTTCTATGATAAAGTCTGTAAGGCTCTTAAAGGTGAGTAATAATTTCTATTTTATTTTATTGGTTGCTTCATATTTTATTTTACTAGTTATGTAAAGTTATTTCTGCATCAGCAGTTAGAGAATTGTGACTAATGTTTCATTTGATTTTGGAAAAGGTCTTAGCTCGGTTGGACCCAAAAACTTGTTTAGAGTTTATAAAGAATGGGTATTTTCAGGCTATGACTTGGAATTTATATCAATATCCTTCCTCCATTGACCACTGGCTAAAGTTAGGAAAGGAAAAATGTAAACTTGGGTCTGCTCTGAGGGTTGAACAGTTGCGTTTCTGGAGGGTCTGCATTCAATATGGATATTGTGTGTCTTATTTCTCAGAAATGTTCCCTGCCTTGTGTTTTTGGTTGAATCCGCCTTCATTTGAGAAACTTGTTGGAAACAATGTACTGTATGAATGTGCTTCCATCTCTAGGGAGGCATACCTTGTTCTGGAGTCCTTGGCTGGAAGAATTCCAGATCTATTTTCACAGCAGTGTCTAAACAAGCAACTTCCAGAGTCCACTGATGACACAGAGGTCTGGTCATGGAGTTACGTAGGTCCAATGTTTGACTTAGCCATAAAGTGGATTGCAACCAGAAGTGATCCAGAAGTATGTAAACTGTTTGAGGGACAGGAAGAAGGGAGATGTGATACATTCCGAGATCTTTCTGTGACTAGTTTGTTGTGGGTGTATGTCGCTGTGACTCACGTGCTTTTCAGAGTGCTTGAAAGGATGACATGTGGGGATACTATCAGCCCTCAGGAAACTGAAGGACATGTCCCATGGCTTCCAGAATTTGTCCCAAAGATTGGACTTGAGTTGATCAAATATTGGCTTTTGGGTGAATCTTTTATGAAAGAATTAACTTATTTGAGGCAGAAGGGTGATATTGAAATGTCTTTAGCTTCCACCTGTTGTCTAAATGGAATGGTCAAGCTTATTACTACAATTGATAATCTGATACAGTCTGCCAAGAGTGGCATCTGTAGTCTTGCATGCGAAAAACAAAATCTCTCAAGAGAAGGAAAAGTGCTTGAGGATGGCATCGTTAATGGTTGTTTGGTTGAATTAAGGTCTATGCTTAATTTTTTCATATTTTCAGTTTCTTCAGGGTGGCACCACATACAATCTATTGAGTCGTTTGGAAGAGGAGGACCAGCTCCAGGAGCAGGAATCGGATGGGGTGCCCCAGGTGGAGGACTTTGGTCAAAAACAGTTTTATTGGTGCAAACAGATGCTAGGTTTCTTGTCTATTTGCTGGAAATTTTTGAAAATGCATCTAAAGATGTCCCCATAACTGAAGAAACAACCTTTGCTATGCAAAGGATTAACACTGCATTGGGATTATGTCTAACTGCCGGGCCTAGAGATAAGGTGGTTATAGAAAAAGCATTGGAGATCTTGTTCCATGTCTCTGTTTTCAAGTACCTTGAACTCTGTATACAGAATTTTCTCCTTAATAGGAGGGGTAAAACCTTTAGGTGGCAATACGAACAAGAGGATTACTTGCACTTCAGCAAAATGTTATCATCTCATTTCAGGAGCAGATGGTTGTCTGTAAAGCTGAAGGTTAAAGCTGTGGATGGCAATAGTTCCTCTGGCATTAAGACCTCTCCAAAGGTTGATGCTCGTTTGGATACCATATATGAGGACTCAGACATGTCTTCCATAACAAGTTCATGCAATGCTTCTTTAATGACAGAATGGGCTCACCAGAAACTACCACTTCCAGTTTACTTTTACCTTGGCCCAATTTCAACAATTTTGCATACCAAGCGAGCTGCTACTAAAAAAGTTGATAGTACACATAACATACACGATCCTACTAATTTGCTTGAAGTTGCCAAATGTGGACTTTTCTTTATTTTAGGTGTTGAAGCAATGTTCAATTTTCAAGGCAGTGACATTTTTTCTCCTATTCAGCAAGTATCATTGACATGGAAGTTACATTCCTTATCTGTCAATTTCCTTGTTGGAATGGAAATGCTTGAACAAGATCAGGGCAGGGATACTTTTGAAGCTTTGCAGGATCTTTATGGTGAGCTTCTTGACAAGGCAAGGTTTGACCAAAGTAAAGCAGTTATATCGGATGATAAAAAGGATCTCGAGTTTCTGAGATTCCAACAAGAGATTCATGAAAGTTACTCAATTTTTATTGAAGACCTTGTAGAGCAGTTTTCTGCTATATCTTATGGTGATGTGATTTTTGGCCGGCAAGTTTCACTATATCTACACCGTTGTGTTGAATCTTCCATTCGACTTGCTGCCTGGAATACACTGTCTAATGCTCGTGTTCTTCAGCTTTTGCCACCTTTAGAGAAATGTATTTCTGGGGCCGAAGGATACCTTGAACCTACTGAGGTAAAACATAATCATTAACTATAGCTGTTTTACTATGGAACATTATCTGCAGTGGATACTACTTGTGCTTTTGATACTTCCTTTTTGAGTTAAGAATATTTGAATATATACACGTGTCATTTGTATTTTATTATTATTATTATTATTAGTTTGTAAATTTTTCAAAAAGTGTTTGTTTAAAGTGTGCTTTAAAGTACAAAAGCATTTGGCAGAAAGTACAGCAAAAGTGCCTTTTGCATCAAAGCTAAAATTGGTAAATGTATTGATTCTTTGAAGTGTTATAACGGATGCTTTATTCACATTTAATGCTCCTTTGCTTTTACGTGTTAAGGGTTAAGAGAGGTGTCATTTTTTCTAGTTTTATCTGTTGAGACTTGGGATCTCAAAAGGCACGTATCAAACTCAACCCAAAATGTCACAAATATTTTTTTGGAAGTATGCATACTAGCACTATTATCTGGCTATAGTTTTGTGTCTAGCACAGAATGTTACTGAATTATGCCCTAGCTATAGGATTTGCTGTGAACAAAACCGATAATGGTAAAGATCTATATGTAACAGGAGAAGAGGAAGAGGTAGGTAAAAATATAATAATATTGCTCATTGTGATGGTTCTGGGAAGAGAGGCATTGACTAGAGAAAATAGTTATAAGAACTTGATTTTAAGGAAGAGGGGAACAATGAAGATGGTGATGATGAGCTGATGAACTAGCTTTTAGTGATCTTTTCAAGGATTTCTTATCATTAACTTTTAAGCAGCTTTTGACAGCACAGGAATTACCAAACTATGCCTTACTGGACCTTTCAATTTTTATATGAAAATATGACATACATAAATAATGAAGTAGTGTTCTTAACTTGAATTTAGATATAGTAAAGGATCTTACACTTCCACCAATATACGGTAGAATCTCACTTACTCACTTTGCACCAAATAAGCACATATCCCTTTACTGGCTTGTTTTAAAGCTTACCTTCAGTCGGGAAGAAAAGTAAGGTTGTATCTTTAATCCTTTGATGTTTGAAACTAACATAATGGTATTGTCATGCAAGTTAACCCTTGCAAGGAATGTGAATTGTTCATTGTCATGTTTCCTTATTGAAAAATTCTATTTTCCTTTTTTCATTAGTATTCTCTATACTTATGTTATTAGCAACAATTGGATGGGTGGGGCAATTGTCTTTCCCCACTATTATTTGTGGACGGGTGCACATGCCACCTGGCCTGGCAAACCCTAGTCACTGATTAAGAATGTCATGTATTTTGATGATCATCAATACTCTGTTTCGCCAGATTTAGCCTTGAAAGGTTAATTTATGCAAGGAAGTAAATTTTTCTTTAGTTTGGTAACTTTGTCCGGCAGTGAAAGCGGGGAACATTATCTTGTGGGGCCCACCGTAACATTTTCTTGCCATTAGAGGTGCAATTATGAGAGGAAGAAGCTGCTAGCATTTTCATTTTTTTTTAGTTTATTTAAAATTTAATTTTATAACAAAAATATATAGAAAATAATTAATAAATAATTAATAAAATACTTAATAAAAAATATATATTATAAAAAAATTGGGTTAAATTTAAATTTTAAATTTATATAAAAATATTTTTTATATATATATTTTTCTTTTTACTCATCCAAACAAGCAGAAAGATTTTTTTTCACTTCCATCTCATTTATTTCTACTCATCCAAACAACATATCTTTTTCATTCTGTTTCTACTCCATTTCTTACCCATTTTCTTTTTTCCTATATTTTTTTCTTTTCTATTTCACTCATTCCTCCAAACAAAGCGTAATGGTGTACTTTATCTCTGCAGGATAATGAAGAAATTTTGGAGGCTTATACCAAGTCGTGGGTTTCTGATGCCCTTGACAGGGCTGCAATTCGAGGATCAGTTGCATATGCTCTGGTGGTTCATCATCTTTCCTCCTTTATATTTCATGCGTGTCCCATGGATAATTTATTGCTGCGAAACAGACTTGCTAGGTCTCTCTTGCGAGATTATTCTAGGAAACAGCAACATGAGGTAAGGAAGTTTTCAAAGCTTTTACCTTGATGGACAAATAGTTGAGACTAATCTCCATTCAGAATATGTGCTGCCCTTCATTATCCTTTCACTTCTAGCCTATCCGATAATGAAAATGTTATATGCCAGGAAGCATGTACACCTCTCTTATTCAAAGTGTCAGCTAGGATTTAGGTTTATCGAATGAAATTTAAGATTGCACGTCATAGTATGGTGGGAGACATCACTGTGTTGGTAAATCCTAATTGTAGTATTTGTTAGACCAAGAGCTGAGGCCATGGATGAAGTAGAGGATGAGATTTTGTATTACCTTTTGCCTCCTTAATTTAATTTGCTATATTGCATATGCATTTTTATGCATTATGTTGGTGGCGCCAGAACATATGCTATCTACAATCATTACTAATGGAACTTTTGTTACAGGGAATGTTACTGGACCTCATTCACCATAACAAGCCACCAACATCAGACATGGGTGAGCAGATGAATGGTCTAGTGCATGAGAAGAGTTGGTTAGAGTCCAGATTTGAAGTATTGGTTAAGAGTTGTGAAGGAAATTCCTCTCTTTTGAGAGTAGTAAAGAAGTTAAAGGCTATTGCAGAAAAGAGTTCACAGTGAGGTAACCCATATTAAATGCATGTAAATATATGTTTAAGATATACATAAAAGATTTAGATTCTGGGAATGGGGTCTCAAATGTACTGATTGGAGCATATTCGGTGTTAGAAAGGAGTCTCCTGATTTGTTTTTTTGTTTTTTTTTTCCTTTTCAAGATTTTGGGAACAAAGTTCAAAGACATGCAATGTATATAATGAATGGATGAGAGTATTGCAGTTTTGACTGACGTAATGGTTAAAAAGACCCATGGCTACACTACGTTTTTGGCCACTCGTCTTTCCATATTTTATTTTGAGATTCAAAATTAATGTTCAATGTTGAAAGTTAACTGAAAGTTTACAATATGGAGTATATGAAGGATTGCATTTGTTTGCTCCACAACTATGCTTGATGATTTTTTATCTAGCATGTCCATATTTGAAGTTCTTTACATGTAACAATTGATGATCAATTGTTTGATATATGTATATAAAAATTAACGGCTTGAATTAATGACCAGAAACTGGTGAGATATATAGAATAATTTTTAAAATTATATGTACACTCTACATGTGAGTTGTAGAAGCCAACATAGAGCAGTGAAATTAGAAAATGATTTCCCATCAATCCTCCGAACAACTTCCTTACAAGAAATCAATCCTCTGTAGCTACCTCCCTTTCTTACAAGAAAGATGAAAGAGGGCTTGCAGTCACCTCCTGGAAATACCAATACTTGCTTTGTAATATTTTAAAACTAACAATAAACCCTTTCTATCCTGTCATTTGGTTCCTCATCCATGTGATTGTGAGGAACTTTTGTCCTTCCTCGTGCTAAAATCCAGCAAATTTGTTATTTCTTAAAGCAGTTTGGTGACAATGTTTCTTAAAAGATAAATTTTATTTTTATAACTAGGAGGAATAAAAGAGAGAAATCTAAAAGTGATGTTTAGAGATAGGTGATGTTAATGTGAAATAGAGAAAACATAATTATACTAGGTGTAAATGATTTTTTTTCTGGGTCTAAAACATGACTTCTTTTTTAGTGTAGGTGACATATTGGGATTTTGGGAACGTTAACAATTATTCTCTTTTTGAGTCAGTGTGACTACAAATATAACCCTTTCTTGAAATATATGAAGTGATATTGACAGTGTGTGCTTGAAATTAGGTTAAAAAACTATAAACATAAATTTAACGTTGAAATGATGATTGGTAAAGTTCAGGTAAATATAAATTTATATTTATTTAAATGTGAGTGATAATAGAAACATGAATAGATCTCCACGCTAGACTAGTCTGACTTGGTTTGTAATGGGTTCACAACGAGACCAATGACGTGGACAAAGTTAGCATAGCTTTATTGATGCCAAGACAAAAAATAAAATAGATAAAATACTTGATTGGTGCATGTACTAAAAAAGAATTAATTTTATAATCCACTATGTTACATTAATTATTCCTTTTATAAATGATTTATTGGACATTAACTAATTAACTTTAAACATTGATTGATTAAATGTTATTCATAATTGCCTATATGCATTGTTTGTGATCGATTATAACACAAATTTTCACAACTAAGGTGTATACAAGTATGTTTGTTGATCCGGGATGTCCAAGAGGGTTCAATGTTTTGTTAACACCTTTAAGCTACTTACGATCCAATATCTAAACAAGGTCAAAGGTTATACTCTGGAATTCATTGCACGGCATATATTTGCACATTTCACTTTCCATGGAGCATACCCCAGAGGATTACTGACAATAGGTCATTTTTATTATCATATGGTGCACATAATCTTTTGTAGTTATATCACACTCTTATACTTTACTGTTATTCACACTTGAGTTTCATATAATCAGTAAAACATACTCACATAAGATATGTGATATATTTATGTTGTTATTCTGTTGATAAAAAAAATTGACTTGAGTGTTAGAATGTTTATATAAACACACCACCTCCTTGCCATAACAACTTCACATGTACCAGTGTTATAGCCACTTTTTTCTGAACCTCATAGGGCTCAACTTAAACACCATGTCATGTGTATTAACCCTTTTCTGTTTTTTGTCATGTGTAGTGATCCTTTTTAAAATATAAAATCCCAAGAATTATAGTTTTACGAACTCTGTTATTATAGAATGCGGCAAATTATACTCTCAAACGCATCTAACGTTACAGCCACAATCGTCTTTGGTACTTAAAACCTCACTTTGTTATTTTTACTTCTCAACAACTTGTAAGCTATATACATAGCCTAGTACCGAAGTTATATAGTTGAGTCAACACTTTTGGCATTAAACACTTGGTTTCGTTCCCTGATAACGATTCTTCGGATACTCCTCAACCACTGTAGTTGTGTGATAATAGAGTAAAACTGATGTACCCAGAAGAGTGATTCGATGTTAATCGAAGCACAAGAAAGAATAAAGTATTGAAATAAATTGATATTAGAAAACAAATCAAATGAGAATGTTAATGAGATTAAAAATACATCTCAACCGTTAAATTTATTAGGAATAATCAAATTACAAAATTTTAATACTTATCATATAACTTTAATTCATTTTAAATTTTAATTATTTTATATGACATAATTTTTATCCTCGTATAAATATGACATTCTCATCAAATTTATGGCCATGTATACTTGAATTTACCTTCGTTATCTAGCCATTTATTTTATTATTATTAGATCCCTGTAAATTTTGTTTGTGATATGCCATTACCTTAAATGCATGATATCTTAAATCCAATGACAGTATCAAACACGATGCATTTCCCTGCCATTGATAATTCGGGTTTTGGATCTCAATGAGTAAATAGGTTGTTTCCAATTTTCGGGTTTTTAATTCTATACAGTAGCAAGTACGTGTAAGTTCTAACAAGTCCATATTTGCTCAGGATATATTAGGCAAAATCAAAAGATAAGTTAGCTGAAAATTAAAAAATAAAAATAAAAAAAGGTTAAAGCTAAAAAATGAAGCATAAATGATAAAATTTTAATTCAGGTCGGCCACTAAATTTTATATTTGAGGTTCTAATATTTTTAGATATTTAAAACAAATATTAATTATTTGTATTGATTACTTAAAAATAAATATTATTAGTCAACATATAAATAATATTAAGGATAACTATTTTTTTTACATGAAAAAGAAGGTCATCATCTTATTATGATGTATCTCTTAATTATTAGTAACTAATTTATCTATATATTTTATTTAATTTTTATTTTCTTATTACTCTTAATTAAAATACATATTTTTTTATCATTTAATATTCTAAATATTGATTGTCATGCATGTTAATTACCTATTAATTACACATATAATACTTTAAAAATAATGTCAATAATTAATGTTATTTCAGCATGAATAAAATTTTTAAATATAAAATTAATAAGATATTACTTAACATAAAAAAAATGTATCAATAAATATCAAACAAATTGACTTTAATATTATTTAAAAATTTGGTAAATTTGATTATAATAATTTAGTAAAAATATTGTACCTTAAAAATGTCTGCAAAATAAACTTTCAAGTAAAATAATTATAACTTGAGTATGTCATTTTAATAAATTTAAAAAACACATTTTAAAATTTTCTTTAGGCATAATATATATAGGTTGAGCCAGTCTTAGTTTGATATATTTTTACTTTTTGTATTTACATTTAATTCTTATAATTTTTTTATTGTTCAAAATAATTGTATCATCTCAAAATTTTATTTAATAATTATATAATAAAGATATAAAAAAAATATTATACATCTTTGATTTGCAATGGTAAATAATATCTTACAATAACAACACTTGTCCCTAAAATCATATAAGGGACAAGTGTTGCCAACAGTGAAGAACAAAAACTTGAGTAGTGGCAACAGGATATATAATAATATCATTACATAAGGAAAATCTTTAAGTAGTGAAAACAAACTTAAAGATGATAAAACTTTAATGACAACATAATATCAAAATATTGATAGAGTTTTAAAATTGAGTAGGGGCATGTGCCCCATATTATATTACCCTATGCCAAAGACTGAATTAATGTTGAAGGCATTATACTCATGTAATTAAGTATTACTATTGAAAGAAAAATTTGCCATTACCTTCAACCCTAGCAATTTGTCTTATAACTAAACATTCGGCTATCTAAAAATGGGATCAGAAGAAATGGTCTACGTTAATCATAGCTATAATTATTTTAGCTTAACAAAATTACGTACTGAATATATATATATATATATATATGTAGCACCAATATCTCTCCTTCGTTAAACAGGCTTCAAATCTACATGCTGGCATAAAGTCCATCTCCATATGACTGAAGGAAATTAAAAGATAGCGATACAGAAAACAACATATAATAATTTATTAAAACGGAGTTACATCTAAGTTGACTTGCTCCAATTCCCTCTAAATATCTTCATGCCACAGCTTTTCATTCCTACACACAACCTAATAAAAGTTAACAAATAATATGGTGAATGCATGGAAATAATGATGATAACGTACTCTTACATTATTTTTACTCGCGGAAACTGAACTGGTTGGCGAATTCGGAATGAACCTAGCCCACTGTGATTTAGTTGCGTAGCACAAGTTAGGATTATGATATCGTGATTTTCAAGAAATGTAATCCCTATCTATAACTTATAAGCATGTGTATTTGTGCAATGCTAACCCTAAAGCCTAGACTGAAGGTTAAATATTTACATTTTTCGCTGCAGCACTGAAAGCTTCTCGATGTGGGATCTGAGGGTTGGCTGCTTTGATGCGCTGTATCTCCTCCCTGACATGCACAACATAACCAAGTTGTACATCTTATAGTTTCTCACAAAATAGGATAAGAGAGAACATAGAAGAAAATAATATAAAAAAGAGAAATAAACATTTCTTTTGCACTTACTTCATGAAACGGTTATAAGCAGATGGGAGACGGTGCTTCTTCTCAGGTGCTGCAAAAGAAATAAAAAATAAAAAGGACACATGTTTACATGGTTGGGGTTGAGAAAATGCATCATATGATTATATTAATCATTGCATGTTTAGATTCATGCTTGAATGGTCATGGATTTGAGCTTATTTTCAAGACTAGTAGTTATAATTCCTACGTTGATTCACAACTTTTTTAATATCTTCTGAAATACACACTAATTCTTGTGCTATTTTGGTTTGGAGAGAGTTGTGAAAAGGGTTGTTTTGGATCTGTGGCAACTACATACGTTTTACAACAAATGGTGCTGCTTTTGGGGACACTGACTCGTTAGATGTAGTTGGCGAGGAAGATGAAGACGACGCTTGTCCCTTTTTGGCAATACAGTAAAACCCCTGCTAGAAACAAAAATTGATGTTAATTCTTACTTTTCTAATCGTCAATCTCAGATTATTACACTAAGACTAAGTATTAGAAGTTAACACTAAAGCAGAAGCATTACATAATTTAGTTTCCGTGTTAGTAAATAAGAATTATTATTTATCATGAGAAGCATAACCTGGAGACTAAGGGTGTGATCAATGGTTTGATGTTGAGAATTTGGGGGTCTGGTGCTCAGAAAGGATAGGTTGCTACAGTGACCACACTTCACTGTCACAGTGTCTAATAGCCTCTTGCATGGTATGCCAACCTGCACAAACAAAATGACATATACATATATCTATAGATTTCTAGTTCAGTAACATTAATTTTTTTAACTATTTTTCACTAGATATATTTGCATAAAATACACAAGTTCAATCTAATAAACTCCATAGAAATGTAACCATATGATATATCATATATATAATAAATAACAACATGAAATTAACTAAGAATCACTTGGATAAAAGTTGAATGAAGGGTGGCATTTGAAAGTTTCTACTTTATTTCTAGTGTTTAAAGGAGAAGTTACCGCGAGAACAGTGTTACAGAAGTTGCAACGAACGTAGCAGAGGTGTTCAGATGGTGGAACAAGGTCCATGGTGACTTTCTCTTCGTGGTTCATATTTCGAAGGAACAAAAGAACAAAGGGAGGAAAGGGAAGAGTGTGAATAGGTATAGTTTAGAAGAAGGAAAATGTTTCAGTTGTAGGGTTTAAGATAGCAATTTGAAAGGGTCAGTGGGTGATATATAGGAATAGGAAGATAGATGGAGTTGTAGGGTAATGTCAAAAAGAAGAGCTAGTTTTACCATTTGGTCTTATAGTACAATTTGCTGCAGCATTTTATAGCATGCTTTCTTCGCAGACATGAGCTGCACGAAGCACTGACACTAATTAACCATCCAGAATGGCCAATATATTTTATACGTTATTATATATTCATATATATCGTTACTTTATCGCACATATACATGTATCCTCAGGAACATGATCTCGAGAGTGAACTCAAAACCTATCTCAAATACCGAGTGAATGTTAATCACTGACATTTTGTTGGTATGCTTCAACTAATTTAAATTTATAGCGATATTCAGTAACTAAGTTTATTATTGGCACAAACTTTAAGAATTTTAGTATTTATTGGCATGAATGATCATAAGATTAATTTTGACTATATCCACACACACGTACACACTTTGACAGAAAACCTTGAATGGCTTGTTTAGTTTCTTTCTAACATATAAATGCAATGAGTGCTTGTTACTAGTTATTATAGTATTGGTGTGAATGTTTGTAAATTTAATTTTGAATCACCTTGATTTTATAAAATGAATTTTGATTTGAGTTTAAATTTTGAAAAAATTTATTTTAAAAATAATTTTACAATAAAATTTAGTATAAAAATTTTACTTGAATGCAAAAGTTACAAATTTTACGTTAACCTAGTGTATACTTGTTTCGAAATTTAATAAAGCTAGTTTTGATAAAGTTACTTCTAAATATTAAACATGCGTAAGATAGTTGCTCAAATTGGAGTGTGTTTAAATTTTCGTTTAAATAATTATGCGTTTATATTTACTTTAATATTATTAATTAATGGTAACCTTTGTTTTAAATTCATATTTATATAATTTTTTAAGAAAATTTCAAACCCACTTATAAGTATTATTACTGCTGATTTCCAATAAAAATTACAGTTTCAAGGTTAAGGGAAGTTGGTTTAACAGGCCCTTAAAAGATTTAAGTTTGATCTATGATGCTATTTGGTTCACAATATATAAATTTTATAACAAAAATTGGCAAATAATCTCTTATTTAAAAAAATTTTAGAAAATTGAAATAAACAATTAATTATTTTTTAAAAAACAAACAATCAAATACACACTTAAATGTTTTCTGAGTAAGTTCTTTTGTACCATTGATAGTATACCCTAAACCATACATGTAACATTAAAAATGCAATTAAAGTAGAGAACATAAATAACTCACATAACTGAATTGTAGTACACATTTAGCCTATAGTTGGAGATGTTTCATGTTTTGGTTACACCTAAACGTTTCTCACATAATAAAGTCTAGTTGAGCATATCATGACTTTGGAGGCTAAACGCCTTCCCCTGAACTTCCACTGAATATATAAACATTGTTGGCCCCTCTTTTTCACCATCACACGTACACACAACACACACACACACACACACTTCATAAGTAACCCTAGCAACCCTAGTATTCAACGGTTCCAAAACAACTTTCTCTGGACGTTATTCAATATTTTTCCCACAAATCGCAACCCACGATGCCTCTACACTTCAAATAAGTACAAGAAATGAATAGGGACTGTCCGGTTATTATAAATGCATTGCTTATTCAAGTTGCTTCCCAGATCCTACCTTGCTTCCCGTTCATGTCTCAAATGCAGTGATTGCACCAGCTACTAAAGTGGATGTTAATCAACTTCATCGGAATTAGAAGCCCACCCTGTAAATATGGGAAGAAGCTCAATAAAATCCATGCTAGAAGAGGATCATGAAAATCCAGGACAGAACTTTTGGAACCCCACAATAAAATACAAATTATGAATGAACCCAAAAGAAGTCAACTTTAAAATAAACAAAAGGAAGCATAGCCACACAACATATAGAATTTGATCATAAAATCATTAAGTGTGTCTTTGAAAAGTTCATAAAATCACGTTAAATTATAAATTAATACAAAAATTATAACATACAATTAAAATACATTTATATTTAAGTAGATTTGACGCAAATTTAAATGTTATAAATATCTTTATTTTTTTCTTATTCTGATCAATAATTGAAATTTGAAAAAAAATATATGAGCCTTTTAGACTAGTCTAGTCCCTGACTGTGCATGTGTGACTGATACATGCTAGTGAAATAAGCACTTGACCACGTGCAATATACATGCAAATAAATGGTTTCTAGACCAAAAACCAGCTTATGATAGAAGTGCAAAACAAGGGCAAACGGTAACTAGTGTCAGGAAATAAACAGAAAGGTTCTGTATATAAACAAAGTTACTTGTTATATAAAAAATGTGAAAGCTATTTAACACTTACTTTTCAAGTAATTAAAAATATTTAATACTATCTATTTAATGTTTTTAATTAATATACCCTAGACTAACAAATTTATCCTCTATTAAGGGATATATAAAATTGAAAATTTCACTTTCTTATTTTCCCTGTTTCATCTAAGAGATACTTATCTTTATTATGAAAAATCCTAACTATATGGACTACACGGATGCATATATAAGGGGACAAACTCCAATGTACTGTCATATTTTTTTTTTCTTTGTTCCTTAATCATTGGAGTGTCTTTTACACGTATTCTCTCACACATAGAGATCAAGGAACAAGGAAGCACACTTAAGAAAGTTATAGTTTTAATCTCAAAGACACACCTAAAAAATAAAGAAAAAACAGATAATTAGAGTGAAGGAGGAGTTAGAAAATGAAGAAATAGCAAGGTTGAAGCATGAGATGAGTGAGGAGAAGATGAAATGAAGATAGAAAAGATAGTGAAGAGAAGGGGCCCTGTTATGCAATCCCTCTTTTTGTGGGTGCAGCGCTTGAAGAGGAAATGTGAGAGTGACAGATGCTAGCAAGAGTCACATGTCAAGGTCATGGCAGAAATGAGACTTACAGAGGCAAAAGCAAGAGATGGTGTCCTTTTGTGATGGGACGATTCCACCATTTCCAAACATGGAAACAAATCTATCTCCTCACTTCAGGCCCCTACCTTTCTTTGCTTGTATAAAATACCACTTTCCCAATGCCTCACACCTTTTGTCATTATTCACTCTCCTTTTCTCCAGTCCGATGAATGCCCATTCATTCAACCTCTCTGTCTCTCCTCCCTGCCACATATTTAATTCAATTCAACACCCCCATCACTATTTATTAACAAAAATTACATATGCATGATCATTTTTCATTAAAATTATATGATATTATAAGATCAAATATCTTAATAATAATAATCAAACAAAAACATATTAATAACATTGATTATTATTTCTTAATATCTTATTGTATATCTTCGAATATGTTTTATATATATATATCTATTGTTGGCCTAGAGATTCCTTTGTCTTTTTGAATCATGCCGATCCCTATAGCACACGGCCCCTTTCACATCATGTTCCTAAGTTTAGTTCTGTTCATTAACTTATTTGGACACAATCATTTGATCTATTGTTACCCAAACTTGTTATCTATATCGGGAAATTTGGACAACACACATACGCGTACCTTCCTCTCCTCTCCCTCTTTGATAAACGTAAATTCGTTTACATTGGGAAGATTGTCTCTTCACTCGTTTATATGCTTTCTTTAGCCACATAATCTGAACTAATGCCAAGCAATCCTTAAATCAAATTATATTAATGCATTTTGTGTGTTTAATATGTCATAGTACATGGTTTAGATGATCTTGAATTTATAAAATTAGTTTTGGTTTAAAAACTGATTTTGAGGTTAAAATGACTTTAATAATAATAATAATAATAATAAAAAGACTATTGTTTGGATATGTTCATAAAAAGAACTTTTAATAAATGTACAAATTGTGGAAATATTTTTGTTAGTACATATAAAACTAGTCATTTTCACTGCAAAGGAAACATAATATTATTTCTATTAATTAAAATAATTACTTGAAGTGCAAGATTGGTTTTGATTAAATTTGTAAGTACGCGTTGGCACAATATAATTAAAGTGCATTCTTTGCTTTCTTGGTTTACCAATTTTATTTTATTTTTAATAAAGCCGATTAATTTGAAAATCTTAAACATGATTGGAAGAGCTCCAAGCTCCAATATTTTTCTTCAAACAAGAACTAATATTAGACATACAAAATTAGCCAAAATTCCATGATGCATAGAGATTTTCCTTTTTCATTGAATACAAAGAAGAAATAGTCTTTCGGGATTCAGCTTATACATTCCTAGTTATTTGGGACCCTGAATGTTATGTATCAAAAACTAATCATATTAGGATTTTATATTTTAAAATATGCCCCATAAACAATTTAGATTTACCAAATTAGAATTCAAAAATAGGACAAATAATGAAACGGGTTGATGTGGAATGGCTATTTATACACACACCCATCATAAATGAAAAATGCCGCGTGTAGTCATGGGATCACTTGAAATCGCATTATTGATGTTGGATTAAAAAGTACCATTAATTGCCCCAAAATAAAAGCATTAACAAAAAGGATTATGAATCAGAGATCTGATGCTAGACTTCATCTGAATCAAAATTCAAAACCAATACATAGCTGAACAACATCATGAAATAAATACATAAATGCCAAAGAATAATCAAACAAACATGTCAAAAAGTAACTATATCACGCATGTGCATGATAGTTTAATTAGTTAATTAATCATTGGGTGGTCATGTATGCGTATCATTAATAACGATTCAACACATAATCCTTTTATCTTCTTTGTCTGCAATAAAGTATAAGAAAATTAGAGCATATGTCCGCAAATTATATAAAATTTAACATATAGAACTATGAAGATAATATAAAATAATGGTATGAAAATCCCACGGCCATAACATGATACTCTACTCTTGCCTCTAGTAA